GCACTGTGGGATAGCTCCCCGGAGCTATTAGCGTCGATTTCCATCCACACCTAGCCTAATTCGACATGGCCATGTCGAATTTAGCGCTACTCCCCTCGTCGGGGAGGAGTACAGAAGTCGAATTAAAGAGACCTCTATGTCGAACTAAATAGCATCGCAGTGTGGACGGGTGCAGGGTTAATTCGATTTAACGGCGCTAACTTCGACATAAACGCCTAGTGTAGACCAGGCCTGAGTGAGGGCCTTGATCCTCAAAGCTATTTAGGACACCTAAGTTAAAATCAGAGGGAGTTACGTGCCTTTGAGGATTTGGGCCCGAGTGCCTGTTCTGAAGCTCATTGACTTCAGGCCCCATCTGTGAAATCTTTGGTACTTTGGAGGAGGAGGGACTGAACTTGGGGAGGGGAAATGAGGATCTCCATCTGGCAAATACAGAATAGTCCTGTCTCTTCAATTTGAAATGATACATTTTTTAACTTTTTTTTTTCTCCCCCAGCGCCCTTCCTATGCCATCCAAACCTTTGGATACGTTATGGGGCAGTAGGATTTATCACTGTGGTAGCACAGCACTTAAATATTGCTGATGTCTACTGCAAGCTAATGCCTTATCTCCATCCTTTTATCACTCAGCCGATAATACAGGTAATTGATTACATAATGACATGAATATATACTGTATGTTCATAAATTTAGATCTGTCTTTGCAATAATATCTGTTTTTAAAAAAAAAAAAAAGTTTCATGTTCACTCCATTGCCAGTCTATCAACATCTGCTACAAGAGGTCAGAAAATTGAACTGCTCCTAACTGAGCATCTGATTAGTTTCCTAATCTGAAAACTGAATTGAAACTTTTAAAATTTTTAAAGGACAATATCACTTCAAACTTCATCCAAATAATAGAAGTTTTTACAATATCTCAGATCGATAGAATCATTTTTGAACAAAGCATTTCCTTGCAGTGTTTGCAGCCAAGTTACTGTAGCATTGTGCTAGTGCATAGGAACCTGAAAGTGATTATAAACTGCCCATAAAAACTGCTATGGGTAATTTTTTTTTTAAGACCAGTGATTCATGTGCAAAAGTGCAAGCAAGGTCTATTGTGTGCATATAGCTATGTGCACTATTCATGTGCAAAAGTGCAAGCAAGGTCTATTGTGTGCATATAGCTATGTGCACTTGGGTCTCAGTCCAGTAAGATGCTGAGCATTCTGGCCCTGATCCAGAAAAGCATTAAAATATATGCTTAACTTTAAGTACAGTAGTAGTCCTGTTGACTTCAGCTAGCTAGTCATCAATGCACTTGGGACTTCAGTGGGACTACTCACATGCTTAAGTGCTGTGCTAGATCAGGGCCAGCGTAGTCAGCACCTTGCAGGATGAAGCAGTTGCAGATCATCCTGTTTGCAATAATTGCCTGCCCAAATGGTGTGCAGTGGCACATCTTTTTGCACAATACTGTAGGTTTCTTTTTGAATGCTTGCCCCAATTGTCTGAGCAAAGAGAAATCCAAACATAATCACAACATGTATTCTGAAAGTACATTTGATTCTTAACATTCTTTGTTTTAACAAACTGTGGTGGTGTTAAGACTGTAAGGAAACTTATTGCTAAAATATTATTTTAAGCAATGCCTTTTTAAAGAAGTTTTATATTGTTGTGTATATCTTAAAATGAGAAGTATTCTGATTTATAATCTTTCACTTCCTGTTACATTATAATACATAGAAATAATATTTTATGCTGTAAAAGACATCTATGGCTCATGAAAGGGTAACTACAACAAATAATGGTATTAAGTAAGATTTAAATATATAAAAACACTTCATTCTTTTTAAAAGTTGCTTTTCTTATAACCAGACAGACATTGTCGCAACTTGTTCCTCCTTTGATAGCCAAAAGCTATTGGACAAGTCTTGTATTTCTACAGATATATGATGCATTCCTTGTTGATTGTTCCCTTTTTCTGAATTGCAGATAGATAAAGAAATAGTCCTGTTGAGTGTCCTTAAAGAGCCAGTAAGTCGGTCCATATTCGATTATGCTTTAAGATCAAAGGACATCGCAAGCCTTTTCAGACATCTTCATATGCGTCAGAAGAAAAGGAATGGCACTCGCCCTGATTGTCCTCCCCCTGAGGACCCAGCCATAGCACAGCTGCTAAAGAAGCTACTTTCCCAAGTAATTATTATTCTTTATTTGTACTGCAGTAGTACACGCCAGTGAGGCTCTGGTGTGATAGGTTTTGTACAGACACACAGGTAGATACAGTCCCTGTCCCAAGGAGCTCACAATTCAAGGTTCTGATCATACCAAAAACTGCTCAAAAAGTCCCATTGATTTCAGTGCTTGAGTTTGCAGAATGAAGGCCTTGAGAAGGTAATGAGGCATTTTAAAAAAAGTCTGCCATAGAGAGAGACAACCAGGCTAGGGTAAGAGGGAGCTATGGTGTTTATAGGCTTGCATGTAAAAAAGGAGAAGGGAAAGAGCTTTACAAAGAGGACATAACCACTCCAAGGCCCCAGAGGTGTGCTCCTCCACCTGACCAGAGAGACGGCGTGAGGTGAAGTAGGCTGGCTTTGCAGTACTGAATGGACAAGGAGTATAAAGTCCGTTTTTAAATCCCTTTCCTCCCAGCTGTGGGATACAGGCCCTTGAGCCCATTTCCTTTATTGTACCTCCAGGTAGATAATTGGGGAGGAGACTGGCTAATGATGGAGCACTGTAATCCTCCTTATGGAAATGGCTGGCCTTGAGAACCTCCCATCTACAGAGATGGAAACTGTAGAGAAGACTCAGCCTATGTCAGTTCTTTCCTAGTGTGCACTGACTTCAAATCCCTGGTGATAGGCCACAAGCCAGATATATCAGTTAGTAGTTCTGTCCTTTAGCAGTTTTGTATCCCTTCTCCCTATCCAAACTTGTGGGGGGGGTGTGTGGAGGGGTGGGGGGTGTAAAATACTGTCCTTACAATGTAGCAACTTCCCCAAAATGTGTTTGAAATGATAGACGTCTGTCTTGAGTTCTCTCCCTTCATTAAGAACCATTAATGTATCCCACTTCTGTATCTCCATATCTTGATGGAAGTTCTGTTTAAAATTGTCTCCATGTGTTTTGTTGTAGGGTATGACTGAGGAGGAAGAAGACAAACTGTTAGCATTAAAGGACTTTATGTTAAAATCCAATAAAGCCAAGGCCAATATAGTGGACCAGAGCCACCTGCATGACAGCACTCAAAAAGGGGTTATTGACTTGGCAACTCTGGGAATAACTGGAAGACAAGTTGATCTTGTTAAAACAAAGCAGGAGCCTGATGACAAACGTGGTTGGTATATTCTCATGTTTTATCTCTTTGTTTTATTTTCAGGAGGGTTGGGCAGTTGACTCTTGAACATATTCAGTAAACGTTCTGAGTATTTCAACTTAAACAATTGTTTGCAATAACACTGGACTCATAATGATAGTAATAATAAAGCCAGCAAAACTTCACTAAACAGGGGGTGTCACTTGAAATGTCAGAAACTGGGGGATTGGCTGGCTCCAATGAATTAATAGTAGCCTGTGGAGTCTTTCACTTCTAACTAACTGGATTTAACTCTATACAACTCTGGGGCAGTAATGAGCAAAGGTTGTGTGAAGTGAGATGGACTATCAGTAGTGTTTATATTAAAAATAAATGGTCAGGTTTTCAGTGTCACAGATGACCTTTTTTTCATCACTTTTCTTCTCCCTACTTCCTCTACTGTCCCTTAGTGGGATGACCAGTTTTTTTCACTTTGAATATGTTGGCCACTTGTCCGAGGTGTTTTTAAAGGGTCGAACTCTGGGGAAAAGAGTTGTTTCTAGGAGTGTTTTTCGGTATGTCTCATCAAATGCTTTCTGCATCAACACTGTTCAGCTCCCCCATCCAAACACCTACTCCAACACCTTGCTGTCTTCTATTGCTTCCATTTCTTTCCCATTCTTCTGACTGTATCATGCCCCCATGTGTGTGCAACTCCTCCCTGATGCTGCAACCTTCCCGCCACTTCTCCTATTTGTGTCTGTTTTTTACTTGGAACTCTGCTTACTACAAATCCCCCAAAGCTCACTACTCCAACTTGCCCTACAGCAAACACGTCAGCTCCCCTCTCTCTCACACATGCCTGCATTTTTATTACACCTTGGGAATCTCAAGATTTCTGACTTTGACATTTAAAAGCACAATGCCTGTCAACTCCTTGTGGTATATTATAAAAAATATATAATATACGCATAAATTTGGGTGGGGGGAAACATAAGCACAAATTTTGGGTCCTGTGGAGTCAGTCATAGAGAGGGTTTACAAGTTAATATGCGGAGTCAATGCTTTTAATAAATTCTCTCCCTTAAACTGATTGATATTAGGCATCTTGCCTTTAGTCGTTATGCATTGGCTTAGTCTGGGGTTAATTTGCCCCATGTTTCTACTTCTTTTTTAGTTTTAAGTGACCCAAAAAGGAATTTTCAAAATACATTTCTTAATTACATTCTTGAGCCATCTGGAGGTGGCTGCTACCTTGCTGGAAAATGACAGTATTTGATGCCAGCAGTAATCTGCCTAGTGTCATATGATAAACTAGTCCAGTGGTTCTCTACCTTTCCAGACTACTGTATTCCATTCAGGAGTCTGATTTGTCTTGCGTACCCCCTCACTTAAAAATTACAGTACTTGCTTACAAAATCAGACATAAGATTACAAAAGTATCACAGCACGCTATTATTGAAAAATTGCTTATTTTCTCATTTTTACCATATAATTATAAATAATATAAATATTGTATTTACATTTCAGTTTATAGTATATAGAGTAGTATAAACAAGTCATTGTATGAAATTTTAGTTTGTACTGACTTTGCTGGTGCTTTTTATGTAACTAGGCAAATATCTAGATGATGTACTCCGTAGAAGACTTCTGTGTACCCCCAGGGGTGCACGTACCCCAGGTTAAGAACCACTGAACTAGTCTCTCTCCTGTGCCAATACTGGATTAACTTTCGTAGGAAGAACTTCATTATTTATGACTTGATCCTACTTCCCTTCTACATTAAAAAAATTCTCTCTGATTTGCATGAGTTATATGAATGGGTCAGCTTTAGGATTAAGAATATGCAAATAGAATATTATGTTATTTCAATACAGCTCTTCTAATGCTAAGTAGGAATTTTCCAGTTGTTAGGGGTCTAAATCTCTCTTTCTTCTAACATCCCTACCAGCTGATTTTAAATAACCCAATAATGCATTTTTTCTTTGATTAAAGTAATTCCATAATAAATCTGCATGTATTGGGTTACACTTAGTGCTAAAGTCATGACCAATTTGAATGATTGTTGTAATGAATTAAATCTTGTGTTAATTCTTTCTTTTTTGGTCTGTTTCTTATAGCTAGAAAAAATGTAAAACAAGAAGCAAATGTAAATGAAGAATGGAAAAGTATGTTTGGGTCTTTGGAACCTTCTAACATCTCCCAGCCAATACCTAAAGGGCAAAGTGCTGATCAAGAAGCAGCACAGACTGGAAAACCTCTTCGTTCCGAGTCCGCTGCTGGCATCTGTGCCAATTTGTCATCCTCTCCACAGGTATTTCTGAAGACCTCACTTTTTTGCATTTTTTATCTAATTTGAACATATAAATAGCAGCAAGCACTTTAATATCTACTCACTGAACATAGTGTTGGGACCAGTGTAAAGAGGGATTTTTTTTTTTAGCCATTTTATGTAGTGTTTCTTTGCCCTTTTGGCTCTATTGTTCAACAGAATATTGGGGCTTAAAGTTTAAAAAAATGGGAAAAAATAAGTTCTATGAACAGCATGATCCCAAAGTGAATCTCTAAGGGATGTGTTGGGGGAGACTAGCCAATGCATTAAATAAATTATGCTGACCGTAAAGCTCTTGGAAACCCTTTGAGAATTCAAGAATTTAGGCCCTGTAATCTCCTTTTGGGTGTACCCCTTTTGTTTGTGACTTCAGTGGAATGCAGCAGTTACCATACCAGATCATAGCAGTGGTCTGTCTACGGTAAAGAATACTGTACCCAGTAGTGGTTAGTACCAGATGCAGAGGAAGGTGCAAGAAACCCTGCCGTAAACATGGATGGAATAACCTGTTCATAGGGAAACTTTTTCCCATCCCTCATTACAGATTGATTTGTATTCTGGAGCATGTGTTTGTAGGATTTCCAAAATTGGTATGGGTGCTAGGGGCTGCCTGGATGGATCACCTTGCAGGATTAGGGCCTTACTAACTAGCTGTGACATCAGTATTCATTCTGGAACTCTGATGGGAGTTTGTCAACATTTTTTGGTTTTATGTAAACAAATAATGGTTAGCTAATTTTGTCACTTTGTTGGCAATAGTGACTACAGGTATATTTGCAGTAACTGCTCCTACAACAGTTGCTTGAGGAAATATTAGTAAATATTTTCTTCACGAAAATGTGTACAGCGAATAGACAATTGTGTGCTGTGTTTTGAATAGTAATTTGTATTTAAAGTTGTTATGCAATTAAGACATTGACTCCACTTTCTATGGTGGCTTTGGAACCCTTTCATTAAATGTGGTTGCAGTTTGGCTTGTGGCGAATTGTGTGTCTGCATTCAGTTACTCACTTGTACAAATATTCAGTTCTTAATTTTGAATTTGTATGTTTACTCATCACTAACAGATTAAAGGATAAATGATTCTTCCATGCTCTTGTCAGCGTGACATGCTAATCACATGACTGATTTAGCTGTGAACATTTGTTTAAATTGTTTATGGCGTACAGGCAACTGATGGAACAGTTGTCCAGACCAGGAAACCAACCATACAGGTTTTAAGCAGTACAGCTTCACCTTCCACGTACCAGTTACGCATCACTACTTGCAAAACTGAACTTCAGCAGTTAGTCCAACAGAAGCGAGAACAGTGCAATGCAGAACGAATGGCCAAACAGATGATGGAGAATGCTGAATGGGAGAGCAAACCACCTCCTACAGGTAAAGATCAGGACTAAGGTGTCATTAGACCACAGGTAAAACCTCTTGGATCGAATTACATTCACCATAAGGGAAAATTTGAAATGCCAGGAACACAGGAAATTACTGGGTTAGGAAATCCTGCGATTTTAAGAAGCTGATCTGGACTGGTTTAGTATTTTTAATATTTCCACTGTCAAAACAGAACCTTTTCCCTAAAGGTCACCTAAAAAGTCTTATTTTTAAAACTTTTAAAAAGAGAAACCCTTTTTATATTCCATGTCACTGGATGTGTAGACATGCAAATTATAAATGCTCATTTAAAATCAGTTTCTTCAGCTACCTGCCAAGACCTAGTCATCAGTTCTCTTGCAATCACAGATGACCTTGCTAATACTTCGAGCAGTGCAGAGAATGCAGTTGTCCATCAGTGTAGTTGATTTGTCAGTAACTGTTGCTGGGAAAGAGATTTGAACTCTGATCAGCAAGCTTTTCAGTTCACCTTTAACATTGAGAACAGGGTCAGTTTAGAACAGGGATCGGCAACCTTTGGCACGCGGCCCACCAGGGTGCTTACCCTGGCGAGCCACGTGCCAAAGATTGCCGACCCCTGGTTTAGCATTTTGAGTGAGGCTATCTGTACTGAGGAGGCAGTTAGTTTTATTGTGGCATCTGATATTTATTTCTAAAGGGCATCCTATTGCATAAGGACACTGACTGACTGACACTGATGCAGCAGATAAAACAGTCATTTTAATTTTTAAATCTACAGTTCAGCACCATCTTGGAACTACTAAAATTTTAGTTTTGTTTCAGGTTAGACCCTGTGCTGTGGTGAGGTTCACAATACAAAACGTGATTTTTTTTCAAAGCATGTTTACAATGGTAATCTCTCTGCTGGAGAAACCATGGCCAATTGACTGAATTTGTAAAATATGTGGCCCTCCTGACTCTGCTAGTCTCCCTAATGACTCTACTGTTTTAACATCATTTGGATATGTCCATTGCCATATTAGCGATAACATTTTATTTATTTGTGTAGTGTTAGTGACCAAAGGCCCCAATCCAGATCAGGGCTTTATTGTTCTAGGCAGTATATAAATGTATAGAAAGATACAGTCCTTGCCCAAGTAGTTGATTAGGTAATTTAACAATTTCACTCTACTTTTAGAAAGCTTTTATGTGTAAAATCTTCAGAAACTTAAACAACAGAGCTAAAATTTTACAACAATTTAAATATTATAGTCAAGTTTGGGTAGAGGTATTTTGAGTTTTTTCCTCTTGTGCATTGTAAGTAAAGGATTTAATGTCTGCCCACTGTTCTTATATTACTGTGTAAAATAGTAGCTGCAATGGTATTTTACCAAGAAATGAGCCATCAAATGATATTTAAATCTTGGTGATCTTGATTGATATACACCTCTACCCCGATATAACACGAATTCGGATATAACGCGGTAAAGCAGTGCTCCGGGGGGGCAGGGTTGCGCACTCTGGTGGATCAAAGCAAGTTCAATTATAACGCAGTTTCACCTATAACGCGGTAAGATTTTTTTGGATCCCGCGGACAGCATTATATCAGGGTAGAGGTGTATAAATTGATTTCTCCTTTGAGAGAAATATTGTCTGTGCAGCCATATGTTTTTCATTTGAAAAGAATTGTGCGACCTGTGAAATGCATAATGCATCCCATGACACAGCTGAGCTGTTTCTCTCAGAGAGATCAAGAGCACCAAACAACGTTCACATGTCAAATTTGTTGTTTGTTTCAAGGAAAGATTCACAACAAACATGTGTAAGAGGTTGATTCAGATACTTTTGGTTAGCTCTTTTTGAGAAGAAGCTAATATTTATGTGATGAATTGCATTCATTTAGGAAAAGAGTGCTTGAATTGAAGCTCTGATAACTCCACCTCCCCCCCCCCCCCTTTTTTGAAGGATTTTACCGGGTTTCAGATGGCTTTAGAAGAGTTGTCATGCGTTTTATCAAATATCTAAATAGTGCAGAAAACCTAGTTGTTAATACAACATTAAAGCTGCAAGATCAACCACTCTTAAGTCAGTTAGTCCCAGGAGTTCAGGTTGCTCAGGCTAAATTAACTGGGCCATGTTGCATCTCCTATCTCTTTTATGGCATTCTGAGGACAGTTGCCAATTGCAGTATTGTAATTTGAATACTCTATAGTTATTGCAAATCAGATTCTCTGCTGCCAACTGGTGAACAGGGGATTCGTGTTACAGTTGTGGATCAATAACTTTACAATATTCCTGTGCTTTGACTGGCTTTGTGTAATGTTATTTAGTGCATAGGTCACATCTCTGAAAGAGCCTTCCAGTCATCCAAACTCTGGTAAATTTGCTTTATTGTAGAATCGGGGGGGGGTTGCTTTAATTATACCCTTCCCCTGTAATTTGGCATATTGCTAAAACCTATTAGTAATAACTCTGAATCTGTGTTTTGTTTTTAAAAAGTCCCAGTTTAGTTTTAGATATACTTCTCAGTTTTATGGAACCTGCTCTCACTTCCTGATTGCCAGCCACATTTGGGAGGGGCTAATAATGCTACATTAGGCAGGAGGAGATAGCAATAAGGACTCACACAGAGATGCTGTTGCTGATAATAAGGATTTCAGTTACTATGCCAGGTGTCTGTTACAAAGGAAAAGTAAATCCCTCCTGCTAGGTTCTAGCAATAATGGGGGGCGGGGGGAGAAGGGAGGGGAAGAGGGTGTGATTCTCTCAGCCCTCCATCTTGCTGAGTCCAGGCAGCAGGGACCCAGCCCACACATGACTGGAAGCAAGAGGGCAGGGTACTGCTCTTTCTAAGATGAGAGGCAGGAAGGATGCATTAACCTCTGATAGAAATAGGGTTGGGTTAGTCTCTTTAATGTGCTTTAAGCTACTGCTGCTAACAGTCAGTTTTCCCTTCTTCAAGCTTCCTGCTAGCAGCAGCCCCACCATCAATTTTAGAGTTGCCTGTAAGCAGCTGTCTTTTGTCTCTTTGCTTCCTTGCGAAGCATTCCCTCCCCACTGGGCTTGGGAGTATTTCACTTTGCTTTATTGGAGCAGGCTCTCAGCAGAACAGCTTAAGAGCCTTGTTGTCAGAAGTTGCTACCATTTCCTCTATTCCACTGTGTCAAGTAATGAAAATGTGAGAATAGCACTCCACATCGCTGCTGTTCTAAATGCCAGTGGAGTAGTGTCAGTTTAGATCTCAGAGGTCTGAAAGCCCACAATCATTGATCGGTTTTAAACATCGCACCCATGAATTAAATGGGGAGGGGAGCAGTGGTTTGAGAGAAGAGGTTGTTGACCCACAAAATATTTTAAATCCCATCTATGTGCTTCTATTGTATGGAATCCCACACTAGGATCCTTTGGGTCCAGCATCACAGATCAGTCCCAATGACTATCTGTTTGAATGTGTGTAAGATAAATAAATAAAATAATGCTGCTCTTACTTTTGGGTCTCCTAAAAACATTCTCTTTGGCACCAGTAAAGAGTGCCTAAATCTGGTGTGTCGATGTGCAGTCTGCCTAGTATCTTTTTAGTGTCGTGCCTGCAACCTCTCACAATTTATCACTTGGATGGGGATGGGAATTTTCATATTTCCTTTGTGTTAGGTTTTGGGGGTTGATTTCCTATTGTTCTTTCCATAGGATGGCGTCCTAAAGGGCTGTTAGTTGCTCACCTTCATGAACACAAGTCTGCAGTGAACCGTATTCGAGTCTCGGATGAACATTCCATTTTTGCCACATGCTCTAATGATGGCACGGTGAAAATCTGGAACAGTCAAAAAATGGAAGGAAAAACCACTACGACCAGGTAACTTACAATTCCTTGGAATATGTAGGATTTTTTTTTTTCCCCAAAAATATTTAAATACACTGTCAGAGTTAAGCTTGAACCACTCCTACAGTATACTGAAGATCTTAAATATTCAAATGGAACATGTAAGTGTGCAACTATAACATTTTATGCTTCATTTTCTAGGAATCTTTGTTCCCTTCTATCTAATTGAAACTACAAGGGAATATTGCATAGGCAAAGTAATTGCAAATCCTTCTGATGTATGGGTGAAATATATGCGGGTACTGATACCTTAAGATCACCTACATTTACAGCTAAATGAGCTTCATAGTTAACTGCCTCATTCCCTGATATGCACTTCAGGAAGTTTGTACTGTTGGTTGAAGAGAAAATGCATGGTACATAATTTATTGAAATGCATATCTTACAGAGAAAAGAAGTCCTATTAATACAAAAAAAAAATGAAGGTAGTAAAGATGCACAGGACCATAATGATAATGAAATTAGAGTATGTATGTTCATAGACAGATTAAGGTATTGTAAAAAAGCTACGTATATGTATATAAGATTCTAGGAGTTTTATTATTCTGTACCTGTAGCACAGAATGATCGTGAAATTGAAGAGTATCATAATGCATATCACAAAGGGGGAGAATTAAGGTTATGCGGGCAACTTAGACTTTGAGATTTCCTGATTTTGGAGCACTTAACTGTGCAACCTTAATATTGTCTTAATGCAGAGTTGTTGTTTTAAGGTGGTGGGAGAGGTGAAATTATATTAAATTGTTTTTTTGAGCTTGCTAAGACATTGGGCCACTACTTGAAACTGCTTCCTATCTCTTCCCCTCCTCCCCCTTAGATCAATTTTGACATATTCTCGGATTGGAGGAAGTGTCAAGACACTTACTTTTTGCCAGGGCTCACACTACCTGGCTGTAGCTTCAGATAATGGTGGGATCCAGCTTCTTGGGATTGAAGCATCAAAGCTTCCGAAATCTCCTAAAATTCATCCAATACAAAGCAGGTACATGTCAACAGTGTCTGTTTCATACTGGAGAATTCATGTACTATCAGGTACTAGCATGCACTTAACAGTAATCCCCTCCCTCTTGAGTAAAGAGTGCTTGAAAGGATGCACAGGTCAATGATTCTAGCACAGGAGAAAGTTGGGAGATATGGGTTATATACCCAGCACTGTCACTAACATGCTTTTGATCGTGAGTTCTTCACCAAACTTCCTATTCCTATTTCCCTCTGTGCAAAATGGTAATGACATTTACTTTTCTCATAAAGTTATTTCAGGTCTTTATGGAAGGAATATTGGAAAACATTACAATTTATAAAGCTTTTAAAGTTTTACATCGTGTTTGCAAATATATGCCATGTGGTTTTGCTGCAGACCTATAAGTGATTCTTCCAGGCTTTTACTTGGGTGTAGGGATGAATAGGGTGTGTAAACTGTGGAAGGGTGGGAGGTGATTTTGGCCTTTGCTACATCTCTGCCATATGAGAGAGTTTGTCTTAAATATTTAGTATTGCTTCATATTATTTATGATTCTGTTACTTCTGATCCTTAGATGAGGGGTGACTACAAGTCCCACATTAGGTTGCGTCTCCTAAATTCTAGCAGTCCAGGTTAAAAATTCACTGAATGTAGTTTTTTGTCTGATCTGTAAACTCAACGTTGTGTCTCAAATGTCAACCTCTGAATTGGGATTAATTTAATAAATAAAATAACCCAAGTGTGATCAATGTTCCATCTTTTATAAATTAGAGATTAATTTTCATCCTTGTATATATTGCATCTCTGTATGAAATACATGCTTATTTGCATAAGCTCTAGATGACTATCAGTTATGCTGTCAGCACTGTAATAATACTGTACAAAAAACAAAGACATGTACAGTTCCTGCCCTCACAATCTGGACAAATATCAGACATGCTGGGAGACCCATAAGTCAGTGCTGTAGTTGTGATTTTTAAAGATGTGCTGAGAGCATTTTATTGGGCTGATTAAGATATGTAGGCCTTGCAGGAGAAATGAATTTGGAGGAGAAATAGGGAAGATGTTCATTGCAGAAAGGTCAGGACTCAGGAGGCAGTGTGAATGAAAACATGAGGATGGCAGTAAAGTATCTTCAGTCTGGGGGAGTGTTAAAGAAACATTTAGATGGATAATATTGGTCTTGTTTCTGATTTGCTTTATTTATCCAGGTTGCTAGACCAGAAGGATGATGGGTGTGTGGTAGATATGCATCACTTCAATTCGGGAGCACAGTCAGTGCTGGCTTATGCCACTGTGAATGGTTCCCTAGTTGGATGGGACCTGCGATCCACTAGTAATGCTTGGACATTAAAACATGATTTGAGGCTAGGTCTCATAACCTCATTTGCTGTGGACATACACCAGTGCTGGCTATGTATTGGTAAGTTTAATTATTATTCATTCTCATTGTATTGGTTAGACTTAGTGAAGTTCCTTTAAAATAACTATGTAATTAAAGCTGTCCCTTATAGAGTGCATGGCTCCAGATACTCTTGCTTCCAAAAGGGGAAAGAGAACTTTTAAAGAGCAGATTTCTTTGCAGTAAGTATTCTATTGTATACTTAATCAAGACTGCAGTCCCTTTGCCTTAGGGTATGTCTATACTTACCTCCGGGTTCGGCGGTAAGCAATCAATCTTCTGGAATTGATTTATCGCGTCTTGTCTAGACGCGATAAATCAATCATGGAAGCGCTCGCCGTCGACGCCGGTACTCCTGCTCCGCGAGAGGAGTACGCGGAGTCGACGGGGGAGCCTGCCTGCCGCGTGTGGACCTGCGGTAAGCACCTTGTAGTTCGAACAAAGGTACTTCGACTGCAGCTACGTTATTCACGTAGCTGAAATTGCGTATCTTAGTTCGAACTGGGGAGTTAGTGTGGACCAGCCCTTAGGAACAGAAAGAAAGGCTATAGATTAAAAAACTGGTGCAACAGTCCCTCTGACAACAAATAAATCTCTCTCACCAGGTACAAGCAATGGTACCATGGCATGCTGGGACATGAGGTTCCAGTTACCCATCTCCAGCCATTGCCATCCTTCCAGGGCTCGTATCAGACGCCTGCTGATGCATCCCCTCTCTCAGTCATGGGTAATTGCAGGTAAAACAGATATCTTACTTACCACCTTATTGCTGAAGATTGTGATTAAGGCTTGTTCTTCACTTTCTGTTGCACTGAATGCTTGATTCTGCAGACTTGCTTCTGCTCAGCAGGTGAGGGTCTTGGTGTGCCTTGTAATGACTTAAAAAAAAATACAGTGTTATCCGCTGATGAAAACTATAATCTCTAGACTTTTGTGTTCCAGGATAGTCCAACTCTCAAGAGGTTACGAGCCCAGCACACTGCTTGCCACATATTGTTGCTTAGGGGGAATTTGCTTAAAAGACAGGAGGTGAAATCCTGACCCCATTAAAGACCTGGGAGTTTTGCTATTGGCTTCATTGGGGTCAGGAGTTGTCCCAGATTAGGGAAGATTTTCAGAGGTATGAAGGATAGTCCAGTGTCCAAATCCCGTTGAACTAAACTCATTTGTGCCTTTGCAAATCTCCCAAGACACTTACTGCAAACACTTGCAGTTGTTTTATTCGTATATACACAGAATTGTAGTACTCTGCAATAATACTGCAAATATTTTAAGTAATGGTGCAGCAGCCCATTCCTGTAATGAGATTTTTTTTTTATGCTTAAAATACTGTGCAGTAACAGAGCATACAGGGTTGCAGTATAGTGAGAATAAAATTTAAAGTTTCTTTCACCCAGTGCAAATTAAAATATTTTTAAATTTGGGGTTCAGAGTTTAAGTAAACTTACTCCTTAAATGTCACCTATTTTATGTTAATTGATGATATCTGGATTTTAAACATCTCTTTGAAAGCCTTTCACTTGTGGGAAACATGCACAAACAGTGCAGGTCCTCCCCCCTGGGAGGTACAGAAATAGCTAAGTTTGTCCTGGTGGACTCTGATCCAGCAAAGGATTCATTCATGTGCTTGCCTTTTAAGTATGGGAGTAGATCCCTTGAATTTAAACAGAGGTATTCACATGCTTAAAGTAAAGTATGTCATGAGTGCTTTGCTGGATCAGGGCCATAATAGTCTACAAGAATTTCTATAGACTTAGAATTCATCTGACAAGTGGAAGGGAAGGATGTGCTCTCAGTTCCCTAGCCAGAGTGCTGAACTGCCTCTGATACCTGTGTAGGCAAACTACCATTTACAGTCCCAGGAAGTAAGTGATACGATTATATGTTTTCAAGAGGATATAGGAAATAACAGAGAGTTTAAAACAAAACTACCTTAAAGTGAGGTTTAGGGTCCTTTTTAACCATAGTGGAGCCGCCACTGTAGAGATGAAAACAACAAAATATGTTCAGAACTTACTAATAGAGTGAGGCTGACATGTTCTCCAAGGAGAACAAGCCAAATGTATTGTACACTTAGCCTCTGTCAATAGAAAGCCAAGCCATCTGGTTTAGTTGTAACCGTGTTGGCAATGTCTTTCCTGTAGCTGTTCAAGGCAATAATGAAGTCTCCATGTGGGATATGGAAACCGGAGACAGGCGCTTCACTTTGTGGGCCAGCAGCGCACCTCCTCTTTCAGAATTACAGGTCTGGCTTCCTTTTTCCTTTCCCATTACTGTCTTTATCGTTTTCCTTAGAATTTCCTCAGCCTCCAAACAGCACTTCAGTATTTTTGCCTGTGTGTTTGGTTCCTGCCTTTGTTTCTGTAGTTTCTCAGCATGTGCTCAGCTTGGGCAACTTAAATCGTGTTTTGCTGTCAAACGAAATCAACTTTCAAAAAAAGGCTAGGATCCTGCAGAAACGAAAGATACAATATAAGGCAACTGCGGGCTCCAGGGAATTAGTTGATTTCAATTGTCTGGATTTTTAGTTAAGGATTTCTTCCTTATTAAACTTCTTAGATTCAGTAGCTGGGATTGGACCCCTTTGTGTAGCTGTAGTGCGTTTTGCGAAGTGACCTTGGGACCAGGTAGTTTGGAGTAGGGTATGTTGCCGATTCCCCTTGCTGCTTCATCTGTTGTAGAGGAGGAATTAATGATACTTAACACACCCACTGGTATGCTTGGTCACCCTATTTTTTCACAAAACAAACTAAGCAACCATCTGTGCTGTGATTTAACTGTAAAGATCTTTCCCCAAATAGCAAATTCATAGTATTGTGTTTGGGTCTGTTCATAACTTAATGACCTTTAAATGTTATTCCTGTGATCACAATACCTCTGTTCTATTGCACTTTCCCTTTACAGAGTAAACCCACCACTGTTTAGCAGTTAGTATTAAATAGGGAAAATATACCTTCATATGGAGCAATACACATGTGCTTTTTTCACTGTTGCTCATAAGTCAGAGGCACATCCATATCTAGCAGTGAGTGCAGAAGAAACAAAATAAAACCCTTCAAGTAAAAAATATCACTAAGCCCCCCAATAAATGTTAAACATTCATATTGCAATATACGCTGTACTTGGTTAAATGACCTATCTCCCCTGAATAAAAATCCTAAGTTACCTTCGCTGTTGGGCTCTGAAATACCCCTGTGTAATGATGTTTTTGCAGTGTTGTTGTAGCCATGTTGATCCCAGGATAATTTGAGCGACAAGGTGGTCCAATAAAAGATATTACTTCATCCACCTTGTATCTCCTATGTAATTATAGCTTTTCATAACTGAGACTTTTGTGATTCAGTTAACTGGCAGTCTGTTGTGCTGGTTCCTGTAACCTTGCCAGGACATCAAGGCTTTATGTGTGTATCTTTGTGCTTTTCAACTTTTACCCAATTTTACCCAATTCTGTAAGAGATAATTACTCTAATTTTACTTAGCTGAGAATGTCCCTATGGAAATGTCAGAGAATTTTTTGTCATCTCTCATTTGAAGTGTAGGAAGCGTTAGATTCTCTTGCATTGCTTTGTGAACAGGAACAAAAAGACAAATGACTTTTACCTTTATATATTTAAGATTTGACCACTTACCAAGACACCAAAACACCACACTTCATGCTTGTCATGAAACAAAAGCCAACTTTTTACAAATAAGGTGCCTGTTAGTAATTGAGTCACTATTGTACAGGATGCCCATCTTGTTTTGTGAAGCATGGCAACATAAATTAGTAATTTAGTACAAGAATGTTTTTGGAGATAGTAACATGTTTGCATCTTCCCCCATTAGCCTTCGCCTCACAGTGTTCATGGAATATACTGTAGTCCTGCAGATGGAAATCCCATTTTACTGACTGCAGGTTCAGACATGAAAATAAGGTAAGAATAGCCTGAGGAATCTCTTTAAAGATGTGATGGGTTTTAAAAAATCTAATGAGTAAAACCCCTACCACTAAAGCACCCCCGCATAGTGGAAGGTTAGACATTTGTGCAATTGAATGTTAGCTTTTTCCATGGAGTCAAGAGGTCTGTGCTCTCTGTTCTATTCCTCATTGCTGCTGCCTGTTATATCAGGCCAGTGTTTTTAACTTCCCGCATCTCACTTTTCCCATCTGAAAACTGAAATAATTACCCACCTTTTGTAAGTGTTTGATATGCTGTGCTGGAAGCAGCAGTTAGCGATGCCTTGTGAGCAAATGTGATATTAACTTTGATTTTCCATATTTATAACCTATAACTCTTCCGTTCAATGCTTCTGTAAAGTCTGGGCTAACTAAATTTTACCTTAAGGGCAAGAAGGCTCTTACACAATCGCATTGAGGTTTAAGCAGCATTAAGCATTTATCATCATGTTTGTTTGGATTTTTTGGGTTGTGTGTGTTTTGTTTGTTTTTTCCTCTGTCTCTTAGGTTTTGGGAAATGGCTTACCCTGAGAGATCGTACATTGTTGCAGGAAGTGCTACTTGCCCATCTGTATCCTACAACAGGAAGATAATTGAAGGCACAGAGGTGGTTCAGGTATCCTGTTCTGTTTTGTTTTTGTTTCTCTGGCTCTTCTAGGCCAGAGTTCAAATTACACCAGTATGATGGTAGGGAAGCTTTCATTGCTGGCACCTGTGCCTTACCTCTTCTCTGGATCAAGAATTTCAGTCTCTTAGCAAGTTACATTTAAATAATGTTTAAAAACAAAAAGTGCTTGCTTTTGACAAACAATGCCGCCTAATAGTATTCAGTAGGGGGACCCTGATACCTTGGGATGACTTTTGTGATCAGAGATTTAACAATTTTGGCTTGCTGGTCACTGAGGCATTTCCACTGCAGGCTGTTACCCAGGTAGTGTGGGATTTGTCCTGTAGTTAGAAGTTGAGTACTGTATCAGTTATTTATGCAATGCTGTAAGTACACTATTTATTCCTTATGGGATAATTAAAAACAGTTGGAGCACAACTTAAATCACATCAGAAAAGTACAGGAATGTTTTCATTTCAGAATTCTGCTGCGATTAATGTGTCCCTCAAAGTGACCTCTGGCACTTGCAGCTTTACTGATGTTTAAATATGACTTTGTAATGTTTTTTATTGATTATTTAACTGAATAAATGCTATTTCAGAAACTTCTACTAAGGAGGCATTTTTACATATTTCCTTAATATGTAAAATCAGTTGCCAAGGGTGGTTTTTTTTGTTTTTTTTTTGTTTTTGTTTTTTTGGTAGAGTTTTCCCTTATGAAAAAGTCCTATACAATTAGGACAAAACTGGTTGGATTCCCTGGAGATTATTATAAAAATCTGTAGAATTTTAATATATCCTTTCTATAAAGTTTAACATAAATGATATCCCTGCTACAGAACTGTTAGTTTAAACATTCTAGATGAACTAATCTTTTCTATAGGATTTTTCCATGAGGACAACTATGCATATATTTTCTCTTTTTAGCTTTTCCTTTACTGAAGTTGTAATATTGAATTTGGCACACCAGTGTTATGTCCTTATCACTAATACAGAATTATGACTCCAGTGCAGACTCAAGAAGCTAGATTTTGAATGAAAAGGGCTCTTACCTCCACCCTCTTCAGAATAGGAGGAGAACTTCTGGCAAAAGACAACTTATGTTGGTTTTTTTAATGGTCGTTCTAGTTTGCCAGAGTATGAAACATCATCTTTTAAATTTATGTAATTTTGGAGACTTGTTTTATTTTAATACTTCCACTCTCAAACAGGAAATTCAAAATAAGCAGAAGATGGGCCCCACAGATGAGACCCCTCGTCGCGGACCAGAGTCTCTACCAGTCGGACACCATGATATCATCACAGATATTGCTACTTTCCAGACTACTCAAGGGTTTATAGTAACTGCATCAAGAGATGGAATTGTTAAAGTGTGGAAGTAAAAGTTGCACTAATATATAGTATGTATATATTTGTAACAAAAAATAGTATTATACTGATTTTGAAGAATATGAAGGTGACCATACATCAATCACTATGGTTATTAAAGCTTGTTTAAAGGCCCTTTGAGTTATTTTATTACAGCTGCTTGGTTTCTGTAGCACTTTCTGAAAGTAACAAGCAGAAGCAGTTTATGAAGAAATTGTATTTAGCCTCATGGTAACCATACTATTCTTCGGGAACCTGTAAGAAAATAGTTTGAAATATTATGTTGCGGATTATAAACATAATGAAAGCTGCTGACCCCTACATAGACAGTATTTATGAAGTCTGACTTTTTTTACATTGAGTCTGGAAGAAGAGTGAAAGAATTTGTTGCACTAATGTCCATGTATACTCTGATAAATATACAGTTAATACTAGAGAATAAACTCCATTTGAGCTTACTTGTACAGTAGCTTTTGTCTGCAATATCTGTTGTCCCTTTACGTCTATGGTGTGCTGAACCTTGAAACCTGCCAGGCTTCTGCTTTACTGTGTCACACTTGCAGGCCAATGTCATATTTATTTGAGCATGTTGTATAAGAGAGGATTGAAAGCCCAATGGTACTGTGCAGAGGGGGAAAATACTTTTAAAGCACTTCTTGCTACTCCCCCCCCCCACTCTCTCCTGCTCTAATGAACGTGTAAATGAGTGATGGGTAATGTTTTCTTATTCCATTATACATGTATTTTTCTTGCTCAAAACAGATGATTTTTATATCCAGGCAGCAGGGAGTTTTTGGTACATCATGAGCAGACAATTTTGTCTCTTGCATGTAACTAATGACTTGTAAAGGAACAAGGATCTCCCGTCATGATCACTGCATCCTGTCTTGTTCTTAATACAGAAGATTTGATGGGAATAGCACTGAGTATTAGTTTTAGCTAGTATGATCACATGAAACAAGACATCATCTGAAGTTTCAGGCAGATAGTTTAATTGGTACCATGACATGTTGCATAATCTGCATTAAAAAGCTCAGTATGATGCCAGCATAGTGATAGAAGGTACATTTTACAACTGTCCCCATACTTTTAAAAACTAGCTGTAACCTCTAATTGGTGAAAGACATTTAAAAACAAAACAAAATGTGAGGCAAGCATGGCAACTTCAAAACTAGAAGGGTGAAACCACTAAGCAGATCTGAACCCTATATACAATATGTGCATGTTGCTCTCAGAAATAATGTATGGTATTTTGTACTGTAGCCCCAAATTATGCGTTTCATACTTTTATGAGAAGTTTTGTTGACTTCAACAGTGCTAGTCGGTGGGACATGAGGATCTGAATCTTGGCTCATCTAACAGATTTGTGTTGCCAGACAACACTGACAATTTCAGCAAATCTCATTTCAATTCCTAATCTCAAGGTACAGTTGTTTGTGCACTCAACTCACTCACGCAGCAGTACCTTTTTCCTACAAAAATGTAATTCTCAGGTGTCGTCTTAAGTCAGAAAAATAAATTTTTTATACTACTCTGTGAACCAAAAAACTGGTCTAAATTGTGAACATTTTTATTTGAAAGAATTTGAGGTCTGAAGCTTTGAACAATGATAATCAGGCATGCTTACTACTGTGAAGAGTCACTTAGGCCGGGTCATAAGAGTTTGAGAAATGGGACTTTTGTTCCTTGGAGTGCACTGATATTCAAAGCCTGATCCCACTAAAGCCAGTGGTTTATATCCCTAGAGACTTCAGTAGTAATTTGGTTTAAATTTTCCTTTTTGGAATAAAAAGATACATTTAACCAATATCTCTTCTTTTCCACAATTGACACATCATAATTCTAGGTTCAAGAGTTTACTCCATGCGTAACTAACAATGCTATAGTATGGGAAGGATAGTTTGATAGGCTCACTACCTGCTCAAAGTACTTAACATACCAGTTAAAATGCAATGAGCCACTGTATACATATGCTGTTCATTTTTACACATCTGTGTACTAACACTGAAATGAAGCTTTGTAAATGTACAACAAACCTGGATGTTGCAATATTTTTGGTGACTATTTGACATCATCAGTCTGAAACTTGGTATATTTTGGCATAAAACAATTTCATTTAGCCACTTTTTAATATTGAGACTGTAAAATTGAATAGGGTCCATGTAGCTATGAAGACAAGTAGAGTTGTACAAGTTCTGTCCCACGAAACCTGCAATTCTGAATTTTTTTGTTGTTCCAAATCAGAACAAGCAGTTGGAAATACAAAGTTTTCTGTGGAATAGACTTTTTGAAACACACTGGCCAGACCATCAGGAGCCAGTCTGCTTGGTTTCCATTAAAACTTATTATGGAATAGAGATATTCCTGTAGAATGCTTCAATTCCATGGCCTCAACATTTTTTGATGGGGGGGAAAAAAAAACATTGGAAAGTATTTTTTACAAGCCCTATGCTTATGACTTTTTTTGTTTTGTTTTAAGGTAGACAAGATGTTCCATGTTAAAGACACAATGTTCTTTTAGAGTTCTCCTTGGTCTAAAAGAAGTAATTCAGTCACCAATTGCATAGTTACTCTATCTGGAAAAGCACAGCAGTGACTAAAAAGCCTTCTATCTTTACACAATACAACGTACACCTGTAGAAGGACTATGGAAAGTAAAGTTTCACTGAAAAGAATTTGCACTGCAGTTTACTCATTGAAAGAGGAGAGTGTTACACACACATTAATGCCTCAGTTCTTGCCGGCCAACTCCAACAAAGCACAACTGACCTGGAGCCTAGACAGTTCCTTAAGGGCCTGACCCTGTTAATTTCCAAGTGTCCTCACCTTCCATTGAAGTGAATGGGAGTTGAGCATGTTCAGTACTATACAGGAGCAGACCCTACGTGCATAGGGATAGAGATATTCAAGTTTTTTAAAATACAGTCTTGTCCATTTCTTAAAGGAATAAAATGATTCTGTATCTGACAGATCATGTCCACATTTCTTCCATGATTTCCACCAATAAACCATTGCAGAGATGGGAATTTTTATAGGTCAGAACCATGCAGCATAGTTAGTTTCTTCAGCCCAGTGCCATATTTAACCATGTCATTGTTTAAAACACTTTGGTTCCAGCCATCTATAAAACAAAAAGAGCCTTCTCTTTAGGATGAGACTGTCCATACAGAGGATTAAAAAGCCTTGTTTTCAATACAATTGCTTTTCTTTTTCCTATAAGCATTGTATTAAGGTAGAGTATATCTTTTCAAAACAGTGAGTGATGGCCAAATCTTGGCTCTAGCCACAGCCTGAGCACGTGCTATGGTGCCTCTCAAAAAGGGCCAGGATGGGAACAAATCTCTAGCCAGCTGATGAAGCCAGTCTTTCCTCTGCTGGGAGGAACGGCAAGATGGCCAGCTGCAGTGGCTCCATTAGTGCCCTCACTTCTCCCTCAGACTGAGCCCAATCCCCCCCAGCCTCCAAACTGCATACACTGCTTCTGCAGTTGGTGGAAATGTGGAATTAGGGGTAGGCTTTCCACCTATGAGAACAAAACCAATGGACTAAATCCATCATGGGGATGGGGAGGAGGAGATGTCTGAGGATGTGAACAAGCGCTACACAACAAAGGAGTCTATAAAACTAATACGTTCAGAGAAAGATGATGCATGTGTGCTACATAGTAGAGATGCAGTTGCAAATGAGCATCCATTCAATCCCCATCACAACAGTACCTGACACTACACTCCAAGGAAATCTCTACAGCTATTTTCAAAGGATATGCAAGGGCCATAAAGGAAACAAAAATATTTCAGAAACACGTCAATCAGAGCAGTGGCTGCGCAGTACCTCTGAAAATTAGGTCACTTATTTATGTGCTTAACTTCAGGCAGCCAAGTTTGAAAGTGGGAGCCTTAACCTCTTTGGGCTTCTGTTTCCCTATCCATTAACAGGAGATCACAGTCTTTACTCCTCTAGAACATTTTAGGCCTGCAGATGAAACATGCTGTGTAAGTGCTAAACATTGTAGTGAAGGGAGCTGGAAAGCAGTAGTGAATGCTAGCCATTTGCTTTTCAATTTGCTAGATATTTTACAAGACTATTTTTATTTCCACTTCTTTTAACTACCATAATATTTATCCATGAGCCTTTGTATGCCACTCCCTTCGCAGAATTCTGAGAACAGAATGTGCGGATGACCAGTAAACTGTAGTGGCTGCAGATCCAACCAAATTCCTAATTGTGTTTATAATACATGAGCGTAGGCATTCTTGCATAGTATTATTTGAACACGATCGTGTTCACATCCTTAATATTAGTTCATTCTGAAGGGTCACAACAGTTCAGGTGGACCAGGGTGCTTGTTTCAGTGAGAATAGTTGGGTTTGGGGTAAGAGGAGGCCATGGTCGAACCACATAAGAGGCTGTCCCACCTCATGTTGGGAAACAGCCACAGGAGGTCGACTAAGAGGATCATGTGTAGCTGAAGGTAGCTTAGAATGGGCCTGGAGCCTTGAAACAGCTCTGTGCTTGGAGGCTAACTGACGGAGAAGGTAAGTGGCAACAGGAAATTCTGCCTGCTTGTGTAGGAGCCCTCTTCCTGTCATGCTGGTGCTGAATCAGTGATTCTACAGAGGGCAGAGAAGAGGTTAGGTTGATGGCAGGAAGAGGAGGAGGAGACTGAGAAGGGCTGGTATATTTGGCTCCTTTCCCTCAGCTCAATTTTCTAAGGAGGTGTGAAGTCATCCATAGGGTTCCAAAGGTTAAACTGTCCACCCTGCTCAGTGAGGTTTAAGCAGACATCCCCCTTCCTTTCCTTACATCAGGCATCACGCACGTTATCTTTCCTTCCGTGTGTTTTGGTAGCATTCTCCATTATGTCGGTAGTTACCAAGGATTGATGTGTACTGCTGGCAAAACCATTGGTGTTTAGAGGACCATTGCTTATGTCATCCTGGAACATTAGTGTTGCATGCCCAGAAACAGCGTATTCAGCTTCAGCTCTGGCATCACCTCCTGACCAATCCTCATCTAGGATAGCACTGGGGATAAAAGAACAGGAAACATTTTGGCCTGGCAGGACGACTCAAAAATAGCTGGTATTAGCTAACGTCCTCTGTTTCAATGTCTGCCCTTTTCCTTAGGTTGAGTTAAGACTTGAACATCTCAGGGAAGAGGTATTCAGATTTCAATAAGGGCTCGTCTTCACCATTTGTAGCAAGCAGGGGTATGAATCTACCCTGCCCTGCAGTAGGTATCTGTGTAGACCCTGCTGCTGTGTACTAACAGTTCGCTAGTGCACTGAAAGAGTAGCTAAAAGCACGCTAAGGAACTGTTAGTGTGCATCAGCAAGGTCTACACAGACAGTGAATAGCGGGCTAGTGAAGGTCAGATTTACACCACAGCCTGCTGCAAACTAAAAGTTCATGTGGACAAGCCCTAAGATCTGGAACAATACGTACTCCCCAAACAATCAACCACCGGTGTTGGGGCAGGTGGTGCTTTGCACAAATGAGCTCTGCAGGACAAGCGGAAATCAGGCAGGAGGAGAATTTTGTATCTGGTTTTAATGAAAACGTTTTTAAATCTTTGTTGCAATTCTATAGTTTTCAATTTTTTTTAAACGACTGATAATTTTGATGGCAGAACATGAAATTACTGCCCAACACAACTACTCACATGCATAAAGTGAAGCATGTCTGTGAGCGTTTGCAGGTTCAGGGCCTTTGATAGGAATCCCTACCCAGGAGAACTAGGCGCTCTCATCAGTTTGCCCACATGTCAAAACAAGTCATGATAAAATAAGTGTCTGGACTCACACATGTTGGCCCCTTAGTGCAGATTCTGGTTTCTGAGAGCGAGCTCCAGTACAAATTCTCTTGAGCTCTACTGGTGGATATTTGTTGCTTGCACCTGTCAAGAAAACAAGACATAGTAACAAAATGTACCAACTCAATGCAATTTGAAATAGTTTTCACTCAACTTTTCCTCTTCTGCCCCCACGTATCTTCATTCACCCAGCAGGGTTGTACTAAATACTGAAAGCAGTAAGACAAATTACTGGCAGAGCTTGCAAGGGCTTATACTCAGCTTGATGGTATTTCTGTTTGGATGGAACACAAACTTTTGGATGTCACAGCCAAGCGATTCCAAAATCTCAGGAAATGGTCTAGACATAAGAACGGCCATACTGGGTCAGACCAAAGGTCTATCTAGCCCAGTATCCTATCTTCCAGCAGTGGCCAATGCCAGGTGCCCCAGGGGGAATGAACAGAACAGGTAATCATCAAGTGATCCATTCCCTGCCACCCACTCCCAGCCTCTGGTAAACAGAGGCTAGGGACACCATCCCTGCTCATCCTGGCTAATAGCCATTGATGGACCTATCCTCCATGGATTTATCAAGGCAACAATGGGCAGAGTCCTACTGATTTTGGTGAAAATCAGAAAGGGGAAAAAATCAGAAGGGGGATGGGGGGAATGACATGTAGCCCCTGGCATCTAGTTGTAGACCTAGCAGCTTCAAGCGCCTCTGTAATTGTGTACAAATCAAAGGACTATTTGATGGCTGCCATTAACGCTTTCTATCATACCACCTCCTCATCTCAGCTCTGCCCATCCTCCCCGTACAGTTTTAAAATGCTGACTTGAAAGAGAGAGAGAAGTAGAATCAGAAGAGTGGCATGGGGGCACATGCAGCCCCTGAGATGAGAGCCTATTGGCAAACTCATTTTAAATACCTTCTGTTTCTTTTTGCATAGGCACCATTTTTTAGACACATTCACACCATAAGGCCATTAGAAGCTATGATTAGTTTATAGTACATTAGTTCTCTCACCCTTGCAATTCAGCCGTTCTCAAAGGCTTACTTTTGCCTAGGGATCTAAAAATAATTCAAATGTGTCTATGTTAAGGTGATGATAGTCCAATTATGCTCTGTAGTCTCCTCCAGTATCATTCCATCAATGAGTCTGCAAGGGCTGCTGCGATGCGTAAGCAGCATAGATTGTACTAAATACATCCCCCATCTGCAGGTTCTTCTGATGTGTAGTCAAGTGATCCAAGATCACAACAACTTTTCTGACATATCACTGTGTTGATCTACTACTAGGTCAGCATTTTTTCTGTTTATTGAATAAATGGAAGGCCCAGGGAACTGATAATAGGATATCAAGCTCTCAACCTAGGTCACTGGTCCAATCTGTGGCAAAAGCTAGAAGTGACCTAAAGTCACTGCCATCTGATAGTTGTTAGGTGGTCTATGTGAAATAAGGTTGGTGGCCTTAGTTCAATTCCTAGTAGAGAGATTTCCCATCATAAAACCTATTGAGATCACCGGTGTTGATAGTCTTATTAGACAGCCCTAGGAACGAACAAGCATGGACTTAAACCACTCTTTTACCCCTTAAGTATTTAACTTGATCTACTAAGGACAGAACTAAGGGACTTTGGAATGGGAAACCTGCATTGAAAACTCCATGCTAAACACATTTGTGAATCTATGGAAGACTAGTGTCCAAGGTTATCAACCTAACCTCTTTCATAAGTTGCTGGACGTTCACTGAAGAACAATGAAACAGCATTAATATAATAACTTACGCCTGAGGAGATGCACAAATGGTTTCATAAACCTCACTACGTATTCAAGTTCAGGCTTATGAACTCTGCCCAGCTGAATCAAATGATGTTCCAGGGGAATACTAGCCAGCTCTTCCAATTCCATGTCGTTATATACATGTCCTAATGAAATTACAAACAGAGCATATCCTTGGCACTTGGCTCTCAGAGATGCCTCCTTTAATGTGTCTTTGTCCCACTGACTTGTTTCTCCAGCAGATATAACAATAATAGCCTTGTGTTGTCTGGAGTGGGGTGCAGTTAAGAAAACATTATCAATTGTCCACTGTATGGCATGGCCAAGAGCAGCTGCTCCATTCAGCTGTCGAACAGATTCTTGGATATGTCTTTTCATTAACTGTCTCTTCTTGTAGGTGACAAAGTCAAATTCTTTCTTTACAGGGTTCTGCCCCAATCGGGGTTTGAAACCTGGTGGAGCATGGCTCACCACAGCCACCCTATCACCTGTGGAAGAAGTCTCTGGCTCAGAGGAAATGTCAAAGTTATCAAGTACTCTGCTCAAGAAGTTTTTCACGTTCTCAAATTCGGTACCACTCATTTTCTGTGAGCTATCCAAAATGAAAGCAGCATCCACGTATACCGGTGGTGATCTGAATCTGCGGCGTTCACAAAACTCATCTGGTATACATTTGTCTGCAAATTAACAGAAAATTAGTTTATACTTCTCTCTTTAAGAAACTGAAAGTGTGACAAAAGAAACGGCGTCTGAACTCTCAGTTCCGGAGAGGATTAAAGAGCCTAAACTTAAAGTATTAACAACAATCTTCTACATCTGTGAAAGTTATGTATAATTAAAATCAGAAAGCTAAGGGACTGATCCTGTGAAATAATCCTCTCCTTCCAAGATTAGCCCTTATTACTAGGGCTGTTGATTAATCACAGTTCACTCATGAGATTGACTCAAAAAAAATTAATCGCGATTAATCGCAGTTTTAGTCGCACTGTTAAACAATAGAATATCAATTGAAATTTATTAAATATTGTGGATGTTTTTCTATATTTTCATATATATTGTATTTTGTGTTATAATTTAAATCGGTGTATATTAGTTGTTTACAAATATTTGCACTGTAAAAATGATAAATGAAATAGTATTTTTCAGTTTACCTCGTTCAAGTACTGTAGTGCAATGTCTTTGTTATTAAAGTGCAACTAACAAATGTAGATTTTTTTGGTTACATAACTGCACTCAAAAACAAATGTAAAACTTCAGAGCCTACAAGTCCACTCAGTCCTACTTCTTGTTCAGACAATCGCTAAGACAAACAAGTTTGTTTACATTTACAGGAGAGAATGCTGCCCTCTTCTTATTTACAATGTCAACTGAAAGTGAACATGCGTTCTCATGGCACTGTTGTAGCTGGTGTTGCAAGGTATTTACGTGCCAGATATGCTAAACATTTGTATGCCCCTTCATGCTTCGGCCACCATTCTAGAGGACATGCTTCCATGCTGATGACACTCATTAAAAAAAAACCAATTTGTTAATTAAATTTGTGACTGAACTTCTTGGGGGGGGGGAACTGTATGTCTCCTGCTCTGTTTTACCCACATTCTGCTATGTATTTCATGTAATAGCAGTCTCGGATGATGACCCAGCACATGTTATTCATTTTAACAACACTTTCACTGCAGATTTCACAAAAAACGCAAAGAAGGTACCAATGTGAGATTTCTAAAGATAGTGTGGAAGCAGAGAAAAGAACTGACAGAAGGGAACTGCAATGCATGACGGTTGTTAGCAAGAGTCAGGCCTCGTTAGCAAGAGACAGTCTTTGTTAGCAAGAGTCAAGCTAGCTGTTACCCTGATAACCCTGATAACGCGAGATTTATAGAAGCGAGGAATGTGTGAGGAGGGTGAGGAAGAACTGTGTAATAAGTCATCATGACCTGGTATGTATAGATAAGGTGTAGGAGACCTTGTAAAGATAAGGTATAGAAAATATTGCATGTTGGCAGGAGTCAAAACAATTGAGAGATGTGATGTCAAAGAGACGAAATGCAGCTGTCTGTCCCTCATTATTTCTGTGAATGAAAGGTATAAATGCTTGCATGTAATTAGTTGCCAGGGAGAGACCTGCTTAGCTCTCTCCTCTGC